ATCAAAATGCATGGTCTATAGACCACCAAAATGTCCAAAAATGGTCGATATTTGATCAAAATGCATGTGCTATAGCCCACCAAAATGGCCAAAAAAATTTAGAATTTATGAAATAAAATATATCTGTGACCTTTCTTTGTATTCTTCTTGATAAAATTTGAAAATCCAAGTATGTATTTTTGCCTTTGAAGAGTTGGAATTGAGAATCAGAATAGACTGGTGATCACAGGTAGCCCAAGCTAGACATTTTTGTACTTTTTAGAAATATTTAATATATCACAAAAATAAACATCTCTATATGTGCATTGTGTTTTTCTTTACATTTCTGTGAAGTTTCAGGCCATTTTCTTCAATTTTGAGCGATTTATTTCTGTGGTTTTGATTATTCTTATGAAGGCTATTGAAGTAAAAGCTATTGTTGAAGAGTCCCAGGGTTTCGTAGAGCAAAATCCGAGATTTTTTTAAAGCTCTTTGCTTTTCTAATGACCGATAAACCTATATATTCTTTTAAAAAATGCCGTGTTTGTGCTCTTTTTCGTACTCTTCATTTCTGTCATATATAACATATCAAAAGGTCTAATCTAAGGCATCTAAGCAAATGTCACCCGATGTATGATATGGAGAATTTCATTTTCACACCTTAAAAAAGAGACAGGCGAGCACATTCATTTCCTTGCCCTAGATTCCCTAACCTCCATGATTCTTCATCATGTTTTTCGCACAGTATTGCTTAATCACTTTTTAATAGTTCAGTAAGAAGACGTTTTTCCAATGCTTTAATTTGTGAAAAACAACTATAATTGATTGCATTAAGTTTACAACCTTTTGAGTGTTAAATCCTAACTATTAGCTATATTGATAACTGATTATATTTATCACCATGTACCCAAGCCTATTAACAAATTAACCAAAGTAAAATAGCGATCAAAATATTTTCAAGACCACAAGTTATTTTAGCTGCAAGGAATTTCGTTTCTTTGTCAAATGCCTCCTTCCCATTTTCGCCGTTTGAAGCAAGTCTCAGTTGTAAGAGTACGATCAGGCCGTACAAAACAGAGCAGTTACAAATGCTGTCGGTCTGCATTGAAAATATCCTGATTCTAGTACTTAGACGATGTTATATGAAAGCCAAGAGCACCACGTCTTGTAAAACTACATTGTACATTAATTATTTCTAAACTTGTTTAGTGCTGTCCTACATATGTTTCAAAAACCGTTTTCCGATCCTGTTCTGTAAGGAAACCTTGTTAATCACAATGCACTATGAGCCAGAGAGCTGTAAAGTTCCTAACTTTACTGGGATTGATAAGAATATTTGGAAAATTAGTTAGGTTTAAATTCAGGTAATCTAAACCATTATTTTGTGGTTGATATAGAGTGCATTGCGATTCACTAGACCTAAAGGCTGGTTTACACTTTCGGTACACTTCATTTATGCTAGACATAAAAAAAGATAATTTCTACGAATAGTGAAGAATACTTCAATATATGAAACCTTTGTACTGAGGTTGGCAAACTATTGGTCTATTTTCGATAACTACCAAAATTCCAAATTGAGGAAATTGTGAAAATAACTTTTGCCAACTTTAGTAAATTGGAATATTAAATTGCAAGATTGTTTCCGTCAGTATTGATAATGATAATCTTATTTAAAAAATACGAGATTAGTTGAATCGAAATCATTATTCTGTGATAGCTGCCCGCCAAAACTGGGATGCACGAGATTTCAGTTGCCCTTCTGTACGTTTTTACTATTCAACGACATTATTTTCTGAAGCGGTGGCCTCTATATGTACTGATAGTTGCCATTCACAGCGTGCAGAATCGCGTCACGTGGTCGACTATCCACCAATAAGAGCGGACGACTATTTGTTGTTGAATTCTAAAGACTGATAGTACAAAGTACCTGTGATTCTCTATCCTGCTGTATTATGACACAAATTATGCGAGCTTCTTAAAATAATCTGAAATATTTATCAAGGTGCGTCATGCGACTGTTGTCTTTGTGAAGTGTAAACCAGCCCCTAAAGTATTTAACATACTCTCAAGCACCTTCCGAGGCATTTATTTCGCATATGCAGACGAAGGCTAAAAGAGAGCCTAGAGCTGCGGTAACGCTTGATGCAGATTCTTCTACATCCACGACAAAGACACCGACATCTTCTTACGGTTACACGTAGCTGTTTGCAATAACGAGAATAACGTCGGCATGGGCTTCTCAAACAAAGTCTACTATAGGCAAGAATTTGTCTTCTGCACCACGAAGGTCTTCGTCTCGATCTTCTTCTAGGATCTAGAAAAAGAAAGCATATTGTGACGTTATATCCTACTGAAAGACAATCAATGTTTTGATACAGTTAGTCTCGATAATTCACGTGGATTTTCTTGACTTTTTTGTTTTTGTTTACAAATGATTAGAAACTAGCCCAGATCGTCCAGATCTATTCTTTTTCGATATAAGCGCTGAATTTCGAGTGAATTCTACTTCTATTCCTTTCTTCACCTCGATTCAGATATATATTATATATATTTGACATTTCAGACGATCTATAAACCACGCGTGGTGTCGTGAGAACACGAAAAATAAAAAGCTGACAAAAATTGTTTTTCATATGCGTTTTATTTGAAATCTGTCCCGCTGTACGGTTCGGTCCAAGGACTTAGCAAAGACTAGTAAATAAACAAGACACGTTCTATTGATCTTTCCATCGCTAACTAACTTTAATATCCGAAAATCGCTTAAGTACCATCACATTCATGTACATTGTCCTCAAGGGAACACTGGAAAAAATTGCGCGCTTTAAAGGTTGTAAATTTGATGGAAATATGAGTAAGTGTCGAAAATGATGTAAATTTGATGGAAATGATTTACATCAAATTTACATCATTTTGGACACTTACATCTTATATACATCAAATTTACAACCTTTAAAGCGCGCTATTTTTTCCAGTGGAAATGCATTAGCTATGCAAGTTAACATTCCTATTGATCAGTCATTTGTGTATGTGCTTGGTCTTTTTTATTAGAGGCGATTTCGTATGACTGGGAAACGGTGATGACGAATCGCCTCCGTACCGTAACCGTATCGTAGCCGTATCGTACTTATCAATTCTGATTTGTTGACAATTTCAATGTTGAATTTTGATTGGACAAGTGTACAATCGTAAGTACAATTTTTGATTGGATAATTACGGCATTTTATTCTAGAACAAATTACCGTATCGTAAGTCTAATCGCTCATTGGGTAAATACGGCGCTCGTTCCGTACCGTACTTTATCCGTATCGTAAGCGTAATTCCTGATTGGCTGAGAGACTTTCTACTGACAACTGGGCTACGTCATCTTGTCACACAACACCAGTTGCTGAGTTCTCAACACCTGTTTTTGCGAAGTTTTCGGCAAACAAAATTCCATCAGAAAAGCCTTTTAAGGATAAATGTCAATGGGAATCAGTCTTTTGTAAGTAGAATTTTATAAAATGACTGGCRGTTGATAACATTTGAAGATTATTTTACAAATTTTCCTCTCTTTTTTCGGCATTTCGAGGCCCTTGGGCGATCTGTTGTGAAAATGTAAGCTAAAGTTTAGTCTTTAGTCTCTTCAAGTCAGTTTGATAAATTGATATTTTTAATAAAAAAAAAAACAGTTGAATTAGCTTTTATTTGTATTGATTTCAGCACTTTTAAGTAGTGAGAATATATTTGTCTGAAAGATTTTAGTTTGTAAAACTTTCGGGTATTCAAGCACTCGCGCGTGACTTGTTCAGTAGGAAATTTTCATGCACAATTTTTTTTTTTTTTTTGACTGATTGCTTGACAATTCCCCTTAATTTTTGTTTTGGAAAATTAGCCCATTTTCATTGCAATTATTATTATTTCTTTCGATTAATTAAAGATAGGATCGAATGAATCCGTATCGTGGCCGTACCGTAGTCGTATCACGTCAGCATCAGTTTCCCACTCATACGAAATCGCCTCTATTCTCCCTGCTCTACTTATACGCTGATCTGTACACCCGCAAACCACTGACAATTAGCATGCCACGATTTAACATTCCATACACCACCAAAGACGGTCTTATTGACTATCAGATCTCGAGGTCTTTATTAAGATTTTGAGATTGACAGCATTAACTAGCATGCGTCTGATTTTTAAATAAGCGACTCAGTGATAATCATGTCGAGATAGAAGTTATAGTAATAACACTTAGTATTGAAGCAGAGTCTGTTTACAACATGAATGAGCAGCCTTGCTGCATGGGCTTTTACACTGAAGACATATAGTTCATGGTATTGTGGCCCAGCTTCTTTGTTCAACATGGATTTTATTCAAACTAACAAAACAACCTGACAGCCATCTTGGATCTCTTACAAAAACATCCCTCGTGGGCCCCAAGATCCCCTGCGCGCCACAGGGATCCCGCGCGCCACATCCTCCCCCGGTGGATTTGATGTCGTCCGCGACATCTTACAACTGGTCCCATCATTACTTAAACTT